ACAATGGACAGCTAGAAGCGCCGTACGGTATAAAAGTAGCGGTAGTGGTTGCTAGTATACCGCTCAGTATAAGTGTAGTCAAGTTCGCGCAGTTTTCTTCGAGCCGCATGTAAGTATTCGTCACTCGTATGACACTTGTGGTATTTAACCTACTTCTCTTTCTTTCTCAGTCCCTGCGGATAAGAGTAAGATGGCGCTATGTGGCCTTCCTTTCGTTGACTGTATTTTTCTTCTTCAGGTGATCTTGGAAAACACACTTATTCTAAATATATACAGGGTGTACTGTCAGACAGTACACGTATTTTATAAACAGGCTTAAGCACTGGTAGTCTTCGCACACAAAATCTAAGACGGAAATATCTAGCCGTTGCTTAAGCTACTTTTAATGTAGTAACGAATGAAATCTCGTTAATTACCTTTTTAATTATCAACTTGAGGACGGGTTTTACATGCAGAGGTTGCTTGAGAAATCACAATTCATGGCATCCCTCCATTTTTAATGAATGAAAAAACAGGGCGAGTAATTTGAGGTAATAAATATCGATTTTCGAGGCCCCGATCTACTCTGTATCGTAACTTAGTGCGCTCAAGAGAAAGTGACCACCCTGTTACCTCAGATCCGAACTTCCCGTGACGAATAAGTAACGAAACTTCAGTCAAGGCAGCAGAATCTAAGGAAGCAAAAACACCAAGCCTTGCGAAGTACATAAGTGGACGGCATATTATTCGCGTGTGACGTGCGGTACTTACCTGTTAGCCACTAGACCACCGTGGCAGGTCGTGCTTACCTGTCCGTTTCTATACGCACAGGCACGAAACACTTTTTCGCCTGCCGCGCTGTCTGCAAGAAGGAAGTGACTCAGTGGCAGCTTCCCATTTTTACGCTACACAGTGAACGAAAAAGTGGACATTGCAGTTTGCTTGCGCACTGCGCAAAAAAAAATGCAAAAAAGCATGAGATGAGCATTGTATAGATCGCATGCAAAACTTGAGTGATCGGGTTATCCGATGGCTCAAGTGAAATGACTTGCCGCTATCCACGACTATGTACTTCCACGATGAGCCTTCGTTCAGAATGCGTCACTTCGTCTCGGGAATTTCCGTCCTGGAGTTAAAAAAAAAAAAGGTCGCCTTTCCTTCGATCGCCTGGTTCGGGGCGTTTCGATTCGATGCTGATATATATATTGCAAATGGCTTGTGATTTCTCAGTGTATATATATATATATATATATATATATATAAATAATATTGTCATGACCAAGAAAGACAGACGCTGGCGCTTCGGTGCGCGGGTAGCTAGAGCAAAGAAGAGAACGAAGTCAGAATAAGAACAGCTGGCCCAGTATCGGGTGTTGTATCTTGTTCTCTGTCTCGCTCATCACAATATATATATATATATATATATATATATATATATATATATATATATATATATATATATATATATATATATATATATATATATATATATATAGTGTGTGTGTGTGTGCGTGTGTGTGTGTGTGTGTGTGTGTGTGTGTGTGTGTGTGTGTGTGTGTGTGTGTGTGTGTGTGTGTGTGTGTGTGTTGGAAGCTTAATGTTATTTACGAAACGCTCGCCGCGGTGGTCTAAGGGCTCACTAAGGTGCTCGGCGGCTGACCCGCAGGACGCGGGATCGAATGCCGGCTACGGCGGCTGCATTTCCGATGGAGGCGGAAATGTTGTAGGCCCGTGTGCTCAGATTAGGGTGCACGTTAAAGAACCCCAGGTGGTCGAAATTTCCGGAGCCCTCCACTACGGCGTCTCTCATATGGTGGTTTCGGGACGTTAAACCCGGCATAAAAAATAAATAAAAATCGCCTGTGAAAGAAGTTTTTAGGAATGGAAAACAAGTTTTTGCGAATCATTTTACTCGAGCAGTGATGATATATTTTTGCCTCGATGCGGATTTTGTCTGTGAACACAACAGGTGCCTGAGTGTCAGAACATGTTTTTATGTGTATTTTGTTCAAAAACACTTTGTATATATTAAAAGCTCTCGTTTGAAACCATGACATAACATATGTTCTTGCTGAAAACAACAAAGTTTTGTGACTGTTACTATTCTACACAACTTTCTAATTAGCATCTGAACAGTTATGTCCAGCACGGTGGTCCAGTGGGCATGGCGCTCGAGTACTGATCCGAGATCGCCGACTCCACTCCGGTCGCGGCCACTGAATTTTTGATGGAGACGAAATTGCTAGAAGTCCGTGTGCTGCGCGATATCAATGCACGGTAAAGAACCTCAGGGGGCTGAAATTCTTGGAGCCTTCCTCAATACAGTGCTTCTCATAATCATACGGTTTTTTTTTTTGACGATAAAAACCAAACAGTTACATTGTTATTCTTACAAGCGCTAGCTGTTGAGCCAGTAGGTGCATCATGGACATCAGAGACGGGGTACTAGCGAATACACTTGAATACTTACACAACAAGAAGGCAGTACAGCGTTTGTCCGTGTGTGCCGCCTTCTTCTTGTGTACGTGTGGTAACCCGGCCGTCCCTGATGTTATTCTTGTCGGATGCGAGCTGATTCCGTTTATCCCTGTGAACTTATCAATTCCGTGCAGAACTGCATTTTCTATCCTTTTGTATGTATTACGCTGCTTTAACTGATCATCTGTTGTCTGTCTTGTGATTAACATGGCTGGCCCAGATCCATTTGTTTTGCTTAATGTCAACTAGAGAAAATCGCACCTACTCCTGTTTGTTCTTTGATATCGCTATTCTGCTGTCTTCTCATCTCTTAATGTTGCGCCTGTGGTTTTCTGTTCCATCACACGCTGCATGTCACTTAACTTTTTCCCTAGTTTCCTTGTGAATCCTCGACGTTTTAGCCCCATATGGGTGAACTGACAGTATGCACTGTCCCCGCACACTTCTCATTTAGGGCCAGCGGCTGATTGTCTCTCATGATTTGGGAATGCTCGGGGCATGTGCTCAGCGCATCTTTATTCTAAAACTTTCTACATTCTTCAACTTTCGCATATAAAGAATCGCCTTCAAGTTGATAATTTAAAAGCTAATGAAGACATTTTTGTCATATACCCGTGTCAATGGAACTTAATATTCGGCAGTGTTCCGCCTTGGCTTGCAGTTCGTGTGCGAAGACGAGAGGCACCTGACTGTAATAGTATTTTTACTTAAAAAGTATGTATTATCAAAAAACAAAAAAAATCGGCAGATCCCACGTACCTGGGAATTCGCATTATGCGAAGCATGTGGAGGAAATGTGACCGTGTTGCAATTGTTTTATTGAGCAACACGTCATGAAATGACGCTAAATTAATGTACAAATGACGCACGCACAGACATATGTTGAAGAGTTGCAGATGTTTATATAACCAGTTGTTTGCACTTGCGCAACGATGCCCACTGGAACATGCGTATTAGCAACACCAGAACCTGATATGAAGCGCTGATGCTCGCGAAAATGCAGGTCCTGGGCATTGGTCTACATAAATCAACTTCAGCTCACGGCAACTAACCACATTTGACGTTAACTCGACGTGCGGCTGTATCAAAATAGTACATATGTAATGCTTATAAAATTGGGTAGCCAGCACTGCAACCACTTTTGACGTTTCACGAAGATTAGCATCTATTTGAAAAGTATAGTTCCGAGACCTGGCGTAGCTCTGTGGTAAAATGCTTCATTGGCAGCCAGAAAGCTTGGGTTCGATTCCAGCTGGGACTCGTCGGGTCGACGCTACCAATGTCGGGTATTTCTTGACAATTGCGCGTTAAAATTGCCCACGTGCGTTCTCGTCGTTTCTGGGAAGATAACAAGTGTCAATCACCTGTGGCACATACCCGCATACCAGCGGCCCATACCCGCCCGTGGGTATGTGCCACTGTCTGGCGGGAAGTCTTTGACGCCGTACGCGATGGGAAATTGACATTATTTATGTCTTGACAAGCACGTCGTATTTCTCAAACCATCTTATCCTCTCATGCTAATTTTGGTTCACGCCAAGTAAATGGGGTTACCACAAGGGCACCCAAACGTAAGCGGCTAGACAGACAGATAGATAGATAGATAGATAGATAGTAGATAGATAGATACGCTCAAAGTCGCCGAAGTTCGCTAAGAAATGCTTCGCATTTAAAAGAAAACTCCCTGTATGGTGAAAGGGCTGTCTGGTTACTTGTTTCAGAACTGCCCGCAGCTATTCGGCCTCCTTCAAAATTCTGGAAACGCTGAAACTTGCGAAGGACCAGAGGCGCAAGTGGTGGGGGTGGGGGGATTGCTGTTTGAGGCGACACAGTGCAGTCGATATAGCCGAGTAACGGGCGTTAGTTACGCCCCGAAGAAGACGACGGAAACATCGATGGCCATTGTTGGCAGGAGGCACACATTGAAGTAGTTTCCCAACTAATGAAGCTTTGGTACAAGATCATTGTGTTTGGAGGAGGGGTCTACGAAAGTGATTATAATGTTCACAAAAATCTGAATAAACGGCTGAATCATAATAAAAACAAAAAATGACAATTATTGCTACCGTTATTGATTCCTTTTCAGGGATACGTGTGGAGATAAACTAAGGACTATTTTGTTTGGTGTCTGTTTAGATTGCGCTTTAAACAGTGGACAGCCCCATCCGCTGAAGTTGATTTACGTAGCAGCGTCCAGGGCTACGATCCTCGCGAGCAGCAGCGCTTCATACCATTTTACCGCTTCTGGTGTTGCTGATATCCATGTTGCTGTTAGCATCATTATGCAACTGCAAACAACTGGTTGTTCAAAACATACGCGGATGTTTAACGTATATCTGTGCGTTCATATATACACACATTTAGCACCACTTCGTAACGTTTTGCTCGATAAAAAAAATAACAACACAGTTTCCTTAAATCCGCATGCCTCGCGTAACGTCGATTCCGGTACGTGGGATCTGTCCATTTTTTTTCTTTTTTATTATCTTTGTTTGCCGAATTTTCGCGTAGACATTCGAACCCCCTGTCTTTTTTTCACGCAGGTTTGCCACTGCGGCTCGGTGCCTCTCTGCAATTTTCTGGTAAGTGAAAACAACGGAGAGGGAGAGAGAGAGAGAGAGGGGGGGAATATCGCTTGCAGGGTGTCGCGTGGTCAAAATTTTTAGCATTGCTGTGTGATGTTTTATCAGAGTTGCCGCTGTTCCATTGGCTTGACGGCTATTGCCAAACGGTATCTCCTCAAAAGCATCGTTATTGTATATATATATATATATATATATATATATATATATATATATATATATATATATATATATATATATATATATATATATATATTGCTGGCACGTGTGTCTGAAGACGTTGAAGCCCATGAAACGCGGTGAAAGGAACGAGTAGAGGGGTAGATCGATTTCTTGATGAGACTCTCGTAGTCGAGAGTCTCAAGGCGTGAAGCAAGAAATCTTTTGTGTGTGCGCGCACTTCGCCGAGAATTCGTTTGCATCGCTCACCGAGCCCGTATAGTGGGAACATGTATTTCTCGGATTTTATTTTCTGGGGGCGGGGGGGGGAGGGGTATTTACCTGAGACGTCCTTTGTGGCATATTAAAGATTTTTTTTTTATGCAGCCAGCCCTCTGTCTTTCTCTCTCGCGGTGAACCCAACGTAATGGAGTACCTTGAAAAAAAATGTGTTTGCGTGTATTAATCACTTTTCAGATTATATGAATTTGTGCATGAGATGGAGTAACCGTGCACGTGCTATCTCGCTTGATGCTGTATATACCTACAGATACTTCTTATCTCATTTTCAATATACATGCTTGAAAGGTACGCGTTGAGCAGTGAAAAGCAAAAGAACGCCGAATTCCTCGATTCATCTTTGGGTTCAAACCTTCGGTTATTGCGTTTCTGAATTTGCGTAGATCCTGGACATCTCCACGTGTTTATGTGTTCCGTGGTTATTGTTTCCCATTTTCATTCGTTTAGGACATAGTGAGTTGCAGGCTCGCCCAATACGCAGTAGCTAGTGCACCACCCAGGCAGTATCCTGATGCTTTTTTTATTCCGCGCGATAATGTGCACAAACACCATCGGCGAATCAACAGTCGGGCTCGCGGAGCCGGTACTTTTCCTGTCTGGTCAATCCTACTTTTATAAAAAAAAACTTGAAATGTTTTGATCTACCGTTGTCGGCAGGCCTTCAAGTGAGCTCGAGCCTAAACTAGGCAGATACACACACAAAAAAGGCCAGGGTTGCGCGGAACACGCAGCGCTGTCAAAGCAAAAGCTAGAAGAGCGGCCTTTCAGAGCCTTTTCTTAACACTCTTTCAGTAACTACTACAAGTACACTTGCTGGGTACCCGCTACGCCACGATTAATCGTAATTCTTGCGTCGTAGGCTGGCATTCTCCATGCTACCATTCATCATTCCTCGGAGAAGCGTGGTATCCGCTACAAACTTGCCAGTAAATTTGTGTAGTTTTTTTATTTATATGCAGTGTGAAACGACTGTGAAGAACTACGCCTGAAGTCGGTATGCGCCAAAGTTAATAGGTGAACAAGAACAAGCGTTCGTAATGGGTTGTATCATGAGACAACCCGCTATTTACGCAGTTCGTATTGTGTGACTCCTGGTTGTTCCTTTGATGTTCTAAAACGCTCCACAACTCATCCTAGACTCGTTGGAAGCTGTTGGAATCGGTGGTCGGATGTTCCAATGGATCCAGAATTATTTGACGAGAAGGTCCTTTTTTGTACAAACCTCAGATGGACCTACCACCAATTACTACACCTCCCGTGGCGTCCCTCAGGGCGCCGTATTAAGTCCCACTTTATTTAACCTCGTGATGGTAGGACTTCGTGAAATTTCGCCAAGTACTATCCTCATATCCATATATGCTGTCGATATTTGTCTATGGACTTCGGCTGTAACTCGTCTACAAGTACGTGCAAGAGTCCAGCAGGCTGCCACCCTGACATGCTCATATCTCCGCAAGCAAGGTCTTTCTGTCTCAACGGAGAAATGTGCATTGGTTGCGTTTACTCGCAGAGCCATGACACAATACCCCGTTACCATCAATGGGCAAAATATTCCATACCAGAAGAACCATCGCTTCCTGGGTGTGATTATTGACAGGGACCTTTCGTGGAGTGCCCACTGCAATTACTTGAAGAGAAGGCTAACTTCCATCGTCCATATAATGTGGTTCCTCTGCGGAAAATCTTGGGGCACATCGATAAGGTCAATGATGCAGCTATACAGGGCACTGTTTTTGGGATTTTTGCGCTTCAGCTTGCCGTTACTGGCAAGTACGTGCAAGACGAACATCCGCACACTCGAAAGTCTGCAAGGACAAGCACTACGCGTGTGCTTAGGATTGCCGCGATGCACCTCAACCTACGGGGCAATTATGATCGCAAGAGAGCATCCAATTCAAACATACATCACCACTGACAATTTGAGAGCCCACATAAGACACATCTGCCGAGTTCCTGGTCACCATGCTGCAGTGTTGCCACTTCAAAGACCACAAGCGATGTTTTCAAAGATTATTTCTGCCCATAGAGAATGCCTTCCTTTCGTCTTCACTCCAGCAACAAGACCAGCGTTACCTCCGTGGTGCCTACAACAACCACAGGTGTGCCTCACTATTCCGGGAATAACGAACAAGAGCCGTCATTCAACAGTGGTCCTACGACAAATGACATTGTCGCTACTCAACGAAAAATACGGCCAGAGGACCCACATTTACACCGATGGATCGGTCTCGGCTGACAGCTCCACAGGTGCTGTTGTCATCCCAGCTTACCAGGTCACTATAAAGCTCAAACTGTCGCATAGGACAACATCCACAGCAGCGGAGCTTGCCGCCTTACGTGCTGCTATACTTTATATCGCGGAAGCCCGACCTCAAAAATGGGCTGTGTTCTGCGACTCCAAGGCATCCCTTCAGAGCTTGCAATCAGCTTTACGACAAAGGGAGCATCAACAACTAGTGAATGAAATAAGAGAAGTGATTCACGAAGTTTTATTGAAAGAACATGACGTGGTGTTCCAGTGGTTACCAGGACATTGTGGTATTGTCGGTAATGACCTTGCTGATAATGCTGCCCGACCCGCCCACGCGGATGCCCAGACAACCCCAATTCCATTGTCAAGAACCGACGCTGCAAGGGGCCTTCACTCGTTCGCTAACACCATGTCGGTAACTTGGCTGAGTGACCCCAGTGTCAGGAACCGCCGCCTACACAAATTGGACCCATTGAGAAAGCTCCAAGTTCTATCGGACCTCTCCCGCCAGGATGCAACTTTATTGTGCCGCCTGTGGTTAGGAGTAGCTTTTACAAAGGCGTACTCCTTTCGCATAGGAATGACGGATAGCTCCCGATGTGAATTGTGTGGCACTGACGAGACAATAGAACATCTACTGTGTTCATGTGAACGTTTTTCGAGCGAACGCAACTTGCTACGCGAAACGTTAGAGACACTAGACAGTAGACCTTTCTCCGAAGAGAAGATCCTTGGTTCATGGCTGTGCGCGTCGCAGGCCAGCAAAGCGACGCGAGCACTGCTAAGTTTTCTAAAGACGACCGGACTACGCGACCACTTATAAGCGTGCAATGGACAAGGTCACATCTAGACACACGTTGCCCTTCCCTTCTCTCTCTCTTCTCCTTTAATCCCCTCACCCCTTTCCCCAGTGCAGGGTAGCAAACCGGACGTGCGTCTGGTTGACCTCCCTGCCTTTCATTTCTTCCCTTCCTCCTCCTCCTCCACAACTCATATTAACGCGATTCCTTTCCCAACATCAAGCCTGCCTTAGGCCAGTTTGGCACCGGCGTGGCTGAATGGTAGAATACTGGGCCTGCACGCAGCTGACCTGAGTTCGAATCCCATTGTGTCTATGGTGTTTTATTTTATTTACTGAGGTATTTTTTCTGATTTTTCGCAATACTGGTTACGGACACAGGTGGCGGCGGCGGACAACTACGGCACCGCTCGTGACCCGTGTTCTGATCTCGTAACAGCTTTCGCTGTGAAACAGCTTGAAAGACGGAACACATGAAAAAGGACGCAAAGTATACAGCACACACTCTGTCGTTCGCGTTGTTTTTGTATCCACCGTGTCGTACCAACACGTCCAAACATCCGCTTGAGCTAAACCTGGAACCATAACCCGGGAACTCAAACAAGAGCTCCGGGCATTCGACGAAATCATCTGGGCCAAAGGAAATTTGTTGGGTACTGCCAGGCGGGGGGGGGGGGGGGGCACCACTTTGATTTCGGGAGGGGGCCTCCTTGAAAATGTCCATTTTTAGCTCTCTATGCCATGGCGAAAAAATCCGGGGGGGGGGGGGGAGGTTACGGGGGTACGTGCCTAGTGTGCCACCTCCTGGCTACGCTCCTGGGTACCGCTAACAACGGTTGACGTAAGCGCAAGTACATAACTAGCATTGCACTACGCCTCTCTGCCTTCTAATAAATCATCTCTCTCTCTCTCTAAAGACTATGTATGACTCACTCGTGGAGAAACAGACGAAACTTATATGCATGCACTCACGATGAAAATATCTCGCTAAAGTGGATGCTTGGGCGCGTTGGTACATCTCAGAAAATAAACTATCACGAAAGACGGAGTGCCCCGTCTTTCGCGGTGCTTTGTTTTCTGATAAATCATCTGGGAAGCAAGAAGATTAAAAAAAAAAAGACGCAGTCTCTAGCCTCCAACGCTCTGTACATGACCGCTCGTTACAGCTCAAACAAGTTATGAAAAACATTCATTTCGTCTTCTTTTTTATGTTTGCTCACAACATAACACAGCCTGTACCTTCTTGAAGTTGTATTTAATCGCCATTGTTGTGATTTAATTTCGATGTTTTCTTTTACGTTTCACCCCCCCCCCCCTTGCCAAGCGCCTCATATCTGAGGCCGGCAGAATTTCTGAAATAATAAAGAGAAACGACCCGAAACCACGATAGGGTAATAACAAACGCCGTTGTGGAGGGCTGCGAAAATTTTCACTACCTGAGGTTCTTTATTGTGCACTTAAATCGAAGTATTCGCGAGTTCCGAACATTTT